ATTCTTGGATGAAAATTAGTTTTGACAATTAATTCAGCGTTTTCACTGATCCCACAAACCTGTTTGTAAATTTTTATTGGTTAAAACTGTTGATTTTAACCAAAATTGTAAATGTCGGGATCGGCGAAACGCATGAGCTCGTGTTACATTCCGCAGATTTAATTAATTCGTAACACGTTAACATTTAGACCTTCATTTAGTAGAAATTAACGAAGATTATCCCAAGGGGTCTGATTCATTTCGTCGACAATCATTTCGTCGAAAATTTGTTTCATCACAAAAAAAAAACTTCATTAAACAAATTTCTCCTTGCACTTCCCACACACCTCGCTTTCCTAACCTAATTTCTTAGCTAACTTCCCACACTCTTCACATCTAACCCGTTCGGTCTCTGGCTCGAGGATGAAATAATTTTCGACGAAATGAACTTTCGATGAAACAAACTTTCGACGAAGTAAACGCGACCGTAAATTAAATAAATAAGTAAATATAAATTAATATACAGTAATGAATATTAAATATTATGGCGGCCTATTTTATCAATAAATTCATTATTTTTTAAATAATTTTATTTTATATAAAAAAAATATTAATTTACAGAATTAGACATAAATTTATCTAAGATTGTACATAATTATCATTGTATTTAGTTTTTATTTTTAACGATTAAGAGAAGCAAACGCACGAGTGACACTACGTTGTAATTTCTTTTTTGCATTACTTATTTCTTCCTTACTCGCAACTGTATTATCACCATTAAGTTCAAGACATTCAAGAGCCTCTGTTGAAAAGCAAAATAAAAATTTATTGTTAGTATTATTATAAATTTTTATTTTAAAAAAGGAAATAAAATAACCTGATAATGCAGATTCAATTGTTTCTTTATCATTGCGTTTTAATTTCAAAGCAACATTTGGTTCATTAAGTGTATTTTCAATCTAAATATCAATTAATTGATAATGAATTAATATTTATTCATTTATTCGTTAATTCATTCTAGCTAATTGATTACCTGATAAACATAATTTTCAAGTTCTTGTTTAGCTTCGACACGTTCTTGACTTTGTTTGTCTTCTTCTTTAAATTTCTCAGATTCAGTAATCATACGTTCAATTTCAGTTGCTGATAATCTACCTGCAGAATTTGAAATAGTGATATTTGCTTTACGACCAGTTGCTTTGTCTTTGGCTGTCACCTTTAGAATACCATCAGCATTGATATCAAAAGTACACTCTAACTCTGCTTCGCCGCGAGGCATTGGTGGAATTCCTGATAATTCAAACGATCCAAGAAGATTATTATCACGACACATAGGTCTTTCGCCCTCATAAACTGGAAATTCCACAATCGTTTGTCCATCATCAGCCGTTGTAAATATTTTCTTTTTGATTGTAGGGATCGGTGTATTACGAGGTACAACTATAGTCATGATACCACCTTGTGTCTCAACTCCTAAGCTAAGAGGTACCACATCCAATAACAACAGATCTTGTGTTTTATCACTGCTGGCTTGATTTGTGAGAAGAGCTGCCTGTACTGCTGCACCATATGCTACCGCTTCATCAGGATTAATAGATTTATTTAATTCTTTTCCATCGAAAAATTCTTGAAGAAGTGATTGGATTTTGGGAATTCTTGTTGATCCACCGACCAAAACAATTTCATTAATGCCCTTTTTTTCCATTTTAGCGTCTTTTAATACCTTACGTACAGGTTCTATGGTTCCATTGAATAATGTATAATTTAATTCTTCAAATTTCGCTCTTGTAAGAGTTGCTTGAAAATCAATTCCATCAAATAAAGAGTCAACTTCAATGGTGGTCTGTGTTAATGAGGATAATGTACGTTTGGCACGTTCACATGCAGATCTAAGACGTCTGATAGCACGAGCATCACCAGATATGTCATGTTTATGTTTACGTTTAAATTCTTGTTTAAAATGTTCCAGCAGGTTATTATCAAAATCCTCACCGCCTAAATGAGTGTCACCAGCTGTAGCTTTTACAGCAAAAACACCACCAGATATATTTAAAAGTGATACGTCAAAAGTTCCACCACCCAAATCAAAAATCAAAACATTTTTTTCTGATGTATCTTTGGAGTCAAGTCCATAAGCAATAGCTGCAGCAGTTGGTTCATTGATAATTCTGAGAACATCAAGTCCTGCGATTTTACCAGCATCCCTCGTTGCAAGACGTTGTGAATCGTTGAAATATGCAGGAACTGTAACAACAGATTTCTTTACTTTTTTCCCAAGTTTATATTCAGCTATGTCCTAGTAGTATATATATACATATATATAAGGAATTTGCTGATATCAGATGTTGTGTACAATTACTAGCAAATATAATAATAATAATAATTTTTGAATAAAATCTCTTATAAAATATTTTTTAATTTAAAATATTTATAAATGTGTTTGTGTGTGTGTGAGTACATATATATTATCTGAGAACTATACACACACACACACACACATCTATATTACAAGAGAGCAATTCTCATACCTTCATGCGAGTTAAGACCATTGAAGAGATTTCTTGAGGAGTAAAAGTTTTAGTCTCTCCCTGATATTCAACTTGAATTAATGGTGCTCCATCATCTTTTTCAATTACAGTAAAAGGCCAATGTTTAATATCTGCTTTAACTTCAGGATCATCAAAACGACGACCAATTAAACGTTTTGCATCAAACACAGTATTTTTTGGATTCATTGCAGCTTGATTTTTAGCAGCATCACCGATAAGTCTTTCATTCTCGGTAAATGCAACATAAGAAGGTGTTGTACGATTTCCTTGTTCATTAGCAATAATTTCTGTTTTTTTTTTTTAAAAAAATTAATTAAATATTACAGAATATTATTAAACAGTATATATAAATAAGAAAAACTAATAAATTAAACTTACCAACACGTAATTCATTTTCCCAAACAGCAACACAAGAGTATGTAGTACCTAAATCGATACCTATTGCACCATTATATTCTTCGGCCATTATGAAATTTTTATATATTACAATTATTTATATTTTTTTTTTTTTAAAAATGAAAAATTTTTTTTTGATTGTTTTGATCTAAAAAATTTATTTTTATGTTGATCCTTTCTTTTAAACAAATCAGAATTCCGGATTTTTCAAAAACAAAAATTTTATTGTAATTGGTTTATTTGTAAGCACATGATTAAAAAAGACCAGAACTGTTATATATATTCAAAAAAAAGATCTTTGAATAGGTTATGAATGAGAGAGAAGAGAGATGGAACAGGAGGAACAAATAAGCAATGATGATTACAACAAAGATGAGAGCATGAAGATTTTTAATATATAGATTATATATATATATTTTAACTCTTATTAATGATTTATTGGGGTTGGTCGCAGCAGTTGATCATCAAACATTAAAGCTTCTTTCTTGTCAAAGCCTTCCGGCACATGGGACCTTTACACATGGGAAAGAAAAATCCCATGAGTACGAAGCGTTTCAAGAGCATCCAACCACATATTTGTGATAAGAAACTTATTAAATCTGGTAGCCGTGATCAATACCAGTTATTTATTCATTTCATTTTTTTTTATCAATGACTTTTAAGGAATTCTTCAATTTATAATTGAGAAGTGCACGTGTACAATACACACACAGCACACATTCATCCATGTACACACAAAAAAAGGAGGCTTGACCACTAAAATTTTTTTGGATACATGGTGATGGCAAGTCCATTTTGAAAATTGTTCTACATGGAAAGAGTACACAGATTAAAATCCAACAAAAACATCATGCATGGTTTTATTTTCCAATTCTGCTTGTGAGGCTTTCCAACTTGTTCCTTATAAGTTTCATGTTTGCATAGTCCTAGCATTATTATTACTTGGGTGTCAATTTTATTTATTTATTAGCTCTTTGTAAATTTAAGAACAATAAAGTACCAAATGTATTACATAATCGTCACGAACACCAAAGCAAGAAAGCATCCAATGAATAGAGCTTCATTAAAAATAGTTTTATTTCCAAGTGATTCGTCACTTTTGCCGTTTTTGTTGCTATTATCACTGACAGGAGTTTCAGTTGGTTTATGAATTCCAGTATGTTTAATTGTTGTAGCAGTAAGTATTTTAACTTGACCAGGATCTGGATTTCCAGGTAAATTATTGAAATCATTAGGAGTTAGTTGTTGCTGTTGATTAAGAGAAGGTAGGGGTGAGGTGGTGGTGGTGGAAGGATGTGGAGGAATAGGAGAAATTTTTTGTGAATTTGTAATTGCAATTAAATAAATTGTTAATAACACTGTAATAATAGAAATTGATTTATAATTGTATTTTTTCATTTTGATAATTAATTATCAAACTTATTTTCATATTATAATATTGTTATATTTATATTATTTAAAAATATATATTTACAAAGTGCATGAATTATAAAACGAGTTTTTTTTTTCATTTGATTGATGGTAATGATATCAATTAGATCATATTATAACTTTGAGAAAATGATTATATCATTTTGTTGTATATATTAACATATTTTATAAAAATTTTTTTTTAGTTTGATTAATCTATTCAAAAAATGAAAATAAAAATAATAAAAATAACATTAATGATAATACTAACTGTTACTTTTACTATTGCTTTTATCACCAATGCCAAAATTACACCAACAATTTCAATTTCTTCTTCCGATGGAATTATTAATAGCATGATAACATCAAGCTTGATACCCATCAAAGTAAAAAGCATGAAAACATTTTCAATACCGTTATCTACAACTACAACTACAACTACACCTAACATCATTGCTGGTGGTGGTGACATATCGCCAACATTTAAATCTTCAAATAATAATAATAAATGTAAAATAAAAATCACAAATCCAAAATTCAATGAAACTTATAGACCTGGAGATAACATGGACATTAAATGGAATATTCTAGATATTAGTAATGGTGATGGTAATGGTGGAAGTGGTAATAATAATCATCCTAATTCTCATTCTAATAATAGCATCAATGAATGTTCTAATTACAAAGTAAATGTTATTTTGTTTGCTAATTTAACAATTAATCATAATGAAGAATGGAAATGGGATTACAAAATGATTATTTACAATAACCATAATATTAATAGCAATGACAATAGTGGTAATGGTGGTAATAATGAGTCAACAACAAATATCACATCATTTCAATATCCCATTCAAATAATTTTATCACCTAATATACGTAATTCAAGTTCATTCTATTTAGATGTTGAATTAACAAACTCGTATGAAATCATATTCGACATTGTTGGTCCATTTACCATCCTACCGATTCCATTACCACCACCTCAACAACAAGAATCAGAAGAATCTTCAGGTTTATTGACTGGATTAGGAACTAAAACAAAACTGTTATCAGCAATGAAAACAGAAACTGCAAATTTTACTTTTGCAAATCGTGATGAAAATATAAATAATTCGTCATTTAATTTAATTAATCAAAAAAATCATTATAATGTAATATTTATATTATTTATTTTATTAATAAACATATGAATTTTAAAATTAACCTAATTTAGTAAATACAATTAACATTTACATTTACATTTTACACATTCGTAATATAAGTAATCTTACATACATACACACGATTTTCTTTATCAAGGATTCAACTTGGAAATCATTGGCTACATTTAAATAATGGCAATTGTTTGTTTATAATCCCAAAGAAGAATAAATTTTCTTTTACCAGTATTATTTATTTTTCCTTTTACAGTATTTCCTAATACTAATGCACCTATTGATTAAAAAAAAAAATTTTTATGTATATATATATTAATATAAAAGTTTCAAGCTATTTTTTTTACAAATATTTAATTATTTGTTTAATTATTTATTTAATTGCTTTCATTCATTCTTTCTCCGCTCTTGGCTTTTGTCTTTTAAAAAAAATTTTAATTCTCGTTCAAAGCTCTATTGTCAATACTACTTTTTTTGAAATGTTTAAAACTACAAATCATAAAGATAGCATTAATATTAATATTAAAAATAACATCAACAATGATGGTGATGATAAAGAGATTATTGCTGACCATGATATCATTAATAATAATGCTACCGTTACTTCATCAAAACAGATAATTGTCAATACCTCTACCACAATCGCCTCAAATAACGAAAATGATAACTGCATCAATAAAATTACCATTAATACTGGCATTAATAATAATATCAACAATCCTTCATCTCCCACTACTACTACTATTGCCACTCCCTTATCTGCCACAACCACTCTTAATATTATTTCTTCATCTTTATCATTATCATCATCATCATCATCACCATCAACAACGAAATCATTTCCATTGCCTCCGCAACCACCAATGTTACAATCACCACCATTATCACCTTTAACAACAAATACATTTCATCTAAAAACCAATTCAAATCAAGAAAATTTTTTGCTAGATCCATTTCTTTATGTCAATGGTAGACGTTATCATAATGTACCTACTGCATCTTATTTCCTGCCAAACGATAAACAAGAAATTGAGCGTTTAACTTTAGAACATATAATCTATCATTTCATTTGGAATGGTAATTTTTCCTCTCCTGTTAATAATGTTTTAAAGTCATCACCCGCAAAAAATGATAAAGCAAAAGTTTTGGATATAGGTTGTGGCCCTGGCCATTGGTTGTTAGAAATGGCCGAGGAATATCCTAATGCTAATTTTGTTGGTATTGATATTTCTCCCGTTTTCCCTAATGATTACGATTCAAATAAACCCACAAACGTTGCTTTTTTAAAATTTGATGCTCTTAGTGAAAATGGTTTGCCTTTCCCAGATGATACCTTTGATTTTGTCTATCAAAAATTTATGGTATTTTTTATCCCTGAAAATAAACGGATGAAACACATAGAAGGTATTTCTTTTCTTTTGATTAAAGTAATAATAAAGTATTCATTTTTATTTAATGCTTTTTTTCTATTCTGATTATTTAGAATTAATAAGAATTACTAAACCTGGTGGATGGATTGAATTAATGTAGGAAATTATTCTCATAATCATTATAACATGTCTATTCTTATTTTCAATCAATCAATTTAATTCCATTCTTTTTTCTAACAGGGATGTTGATCCTTTGCCTTATGATACAGGTCCAATTTCAACTTTTTTTCTGCAATCAAGTAAGTATTTTTTGCCATTTTTTTTAAAGAAAGTATTAAATTTTTAATAACTTAGTCATTAATTTATTATTAATATTAGTGTCAACACTATTATTGTCAAAAGGAATAAATAGAAAAATGTTATTTGAAATTCCATTACTATTTAATCAGAAATCTGAATTGATTACTGTTCATTCTCAAGAACGTCCGAATCCTATTGGTTCTTGGGGTGGCAAAGTTGGTGAATATGTAATTATCAAATAATAACAATAATAACAACAACAATAATGATTTCTCCATCCTAACATTTTAACTTTATTATTTCATTCTAGATGTTGAAAAACATTGAATTAATTGTTGATCCATTAAAACCTTACATATTACCAGTATTGAACTTATCCGAGCAAGAATTCCATGAGATGTTTAAAAGTATACATGATGAACTTAACAAAAATAAAACCTTTTGTAAATCTTATAGACATTTTGCTCAAAAACAATATTAAAATCCAAATCATTAATCACTATCATCTTACCTTCACATATAATAAATATAAATATGATATTCATATTTATATTTATATTTCTTTCCTTTCCTCCTTTAATATTTATTAGTAGTAAGTTTTAAATATATTCATTCTTTAATTCATTCATTTACATTTTTTTTTTTTCATTTAAGATAATTAAGTTTCTATGGTTATTTATTCTATTCTCATTTATTACCATCCATCACTATTACTATTGCTATTGCTATCAACTTGAATATGCTATATCTAATCCTATTTTACACTTGTTTTACTGCAGGATATGTACGAAATTTTAAATTTTTCCTGTAATTATTCTTTCCCAATAAATAAATGATAAATTTACGTGTTTTCAATAAATTGATCTACAGAAGAAAAAAATTTGACACTTTCACTAATATTCACAGGGTTATCCGTCAAATAAAACTGTTAGCAACAGCGCTCATCAATCAAAATACATGATAGCAAGCAATCTGAATAACGTTTTAAGAAGTAAAATTCTTGACGATGTGCTTATAAAAGTTCCAAGTATTTTAGAAGAAACAATTCCACATATTTCTGAGGAGACTTTGGTTTTTTTAGCAGTTTCTTTTAAAGAATGGTAACGATAGCAATTCAACAATTTAATTTTTTTCCTCTTCTTTTGTTATTATTATATAGAGATATTATTTACACTTTTATTATTATTAATTGTTATTGTTTAGTGAAAATAATAAAACTCGTCGTTGCATTCTAAAGGTTTTCAAAGAAGCTGAAAATCATATTACAAATAATACTGGTCCCAAATATGAAGAAATTATTAAAAGTATATTCTTTCTTTTAGAAAATCAAAGCAATGATCCAATAGCTCGTTCACTTGCTTTAAGGTTTGATTTGATTTCTTTAATATATGTATTTATTTATTTATTTATAACTTTTAAAATAATCTATTTTAACATACAAAAGAACCCTTGGTTATATATCGACTTTATTAACAGAGCTTTTGGATATTCAACACGGGTATTTAATTATTTCATCTTTTATATAGTAATTTTTTAGAAAAAATTATTAAAACTATTGATTCTAAATGTATAGAATACTTCAACGACTTGATTCTCCTATACCAATAGAAGCAAATGCTGCAATTTTTGCGGCTGATAAAATTTCCTCAAAAACAGAAAAATTTTCTGTTATTTTATGTGAAAAATTGGCTTCAAAACTTCAATGTATTTATATGTCTATTTAAAGTTTCTTCTCGTAAATTTTTTTAATTAAATGATACTAATCTTTTTTTTTACTTTTATTATTTATTATTATTATTTATTATTATTTTGAAGCTGATAATTTACAATTAGATTTTAAATTAAAATTAATAAGAGTCTTAAGACACATGCATTGGGATAAGAATTTAGCTAGAAAGGCAAGGTCTATGTGTATTCAGCTGCTCGAGAAGCATTCAGATGATGTTTATGTTATAACAATTTTGAAAACCTTGACATTCTTGTCATGTCATGCTCTTGAGTATACTGCTAGTCAGGTAATTTAAATATTGATTCATTTTATAATTTCTTACGAATCGTATTACTATTATTAATTTTCGAATTTCTTTATATAGATTGACCTTTTATTTCAATATTTAATGGATGATGCAAGAAAAAGAGTTAAAATTAGTATACTAACTGATTTGAATAGATTGGCATCTAAAAACTTTAGATTTGATGCAACAAATATTTTAGTTAGTATTATTGTTTATAATAAGAATAGTAATGGCAGTAATAATAATAATCATTGTTGATTTTTTTTTAGAATTTATTAAATATCATAGATAGTGAATCTGATGATATTATCAAAATCAAAGCATTAAATGTTTTATCAACATTATTACAACAAAATCCAGGCCAACTTACCAACCTAATCTCCATTGATTTAGATCAAGATGTTCGTATAGAGATACTTCACTATATTCAAATATTTGAAGATATGTTACCGAATATTCAGCAAAATATGTTGGATCTTACTATCGTTTTTGTTAGGTTCTTTGTAAGGTTGATAATAGAATATGAACATATCAGAGATTTAGATCAGTTTATAAAAATAGGAGATGAGTGGGGTGTGTGTGCATTTAATTATCAATAATTTGATTAATTAATTATTTGATTACTTATTATTATTGATTTAATTGATTTTATTGAATTTAGACATATATCTCAAAGATCTCCCTTCAAAGATTAGTAAGTCAATATTGTTAATTATAAAGAAATTGATGAAGGCATCATATAATACTCAAGTCACTAATGATATAGATAAAAGTGAAAAACACTTGAATATTGTATTTATTTATTTATTTATTTATTTATTTATTTATTTAACTTTCTAATTCAATTCAATTAAATTCAATTAAATGATTTGATTTGATCTGATTTTCTGTTTTCTATTTTCTTATAATTTTTTATT